AGAAGTTAGGCTTTTCAACTCAGATAGCTGACTGGTTCAACCCCAGTCTTTGTGGTACCACAAGACTTCAGAAAGAGAGAGTGTTAGAAAGTTCAGTTCTGCTATAACTCCAATTGGATTTCTGTGTATTAAGTGATATCATTTAACAGCATGCAGCAGCTGAATCACTGTAACAAGTTAATGTATTTTGAAAATAAAATTAGAAAAAAAGAATTGGAATGTAGTCCTATTTGTGTGTATATTTTTACCTTTCAAGTTGTTATGCTTTTAATTTATGTATCACCTGAAAACGTCAGATGACAGAAAAAAATACCTCTTGCACTCATACACAGCTTCTTTCCCAATACCAGAGAGTGAAGGAGAAAAAGGAGTCAGAATAGTGCTCTTTGAAAACGGAAGCTTGGACAGCCCTGGCCACCAGCCTGATCATTTCTTCCAGGTTTGCATCTTTCCTTTTGACAAAACAATGTTTTGGAATCATATCTGTGAGGGAAAAACGTAAGCAACCATTTTACACGGTTGAATGTACATTGCTGGAAAAAAAAAAAGTCCACGTAGACAGCTATGTTTTCTTTCCAGATGTTGTTTGCATACACAGTAACACAGCACTGAAGCTCAGTGGGGGGTTTATTGTTGTTTTTTTTTCTTAAATGACCCTGGAAATAACAGGCTCTCCCTGCATTCACCTTTTCAGCAGGAAAAGAGTAAATGTGCACTTCCTGTCCTTCAGGTTTGCCCAAGTATAACCAGCTTGTTGGAGGAAGAATTTTTTGAGTCTTTTCAAATTACATACTTAAGCAAAATGCCTTTTAAAATATACTTTTAACTTTTGTCGTAGAGATCTTCTCAGCTTGGTAAGAATTTTTTAAAAAAACTTGGGTTTGGAGGTTTTTTTTATCTTTAATAAGCCATTACATTTTTCTAGGTGCACCAAGGGAAGCTGCATTTTCCCTTTCCCTGTGGTATCCTACAGCACTCACGTGGTTCCACCTGAGTGGAACTTCAGGATGCATCCAGCAAACACAGGGAGGTTGTGCATCTGACACAGGGGCACACTGAGGGCTTTACTACTCAAGAGAATCTTCTGTGTAACTCTCTAGAGAGCAAATTGCACCCTTGTTTTTAAACTTGGAAGTACAATGACACACGACAGCAGAGGTAGGAAAAGGATTCCCACCGTAAGCAACAGGCTCACAGATGGTGTCAGAGTACATTTTTTTTCTTGAAGGAGGTGCTCTTTATCCTCTCTTCTTGTAAGAGAATCTCCAAAAGGCAATCTCAGTGGAGAGCAGAAGTATCCTGCAATAAAATTCCATCTCCAAAATAAAAAATCCATTCAAAGGCAATAATGGAATCAAGTGTTCAACTTCTTCACAGGAGATGAACAGACATGGTTCTAGAAAGCAGTTCTGGACCTCCCCCTCTGCCACCTCAGGCTTCCAGGTACCAAATGGAATGGTCATTGATGTAGCATTGGTTACATTGTAGTGCTACAGGGGATGGTGGTTTCTGTTTCCCAGCACAAAGGAAGACCTGTAAGTCTTCCTTTCAAGACAAATCATAGAATCACAGAATGGTTTGGGTTGGAAGGGACCTTAAAGACCATCTCATTCATACCCCCTGCCATGGGCAGGGACATTTCCACTAGACCAGGTTGCTCAAAGCCCCATCCAACCTAGCCTTGAGCACTTCCAGGAATGGGGCATCCCCAAGTTCTCTGGGCAACCTGTTCCAGTGCCTCACCACCCTCACAGTCAAGAATTTATTCCTTATATCTAACTTAAACCTGTGCTCTGCCAGTTTAAAGCTACTCCCCCTTGTCCTGTCACTACATGCCCTTGTAAAAAGTCCCTCCAGCTCTCATGCAACCCCCTTCAGGCCCTGAAAGGCTGCTGGAAGGTCTCTTCAGAGCCTTTGGTTCTCCAGGCTGACCATAGCAGACCCAGCCTGTCTCCATAGCAGAGGTGCTCCAGCCCTCTGAGCATCTTTGTGGTCTCCTCTGGACTTGCTCCAACAGGTCCATGTCCTTTCTTGCTCTTGGCCCCTTGAACTTCCCGAGGTTCCCATGAGCCCACCTCTCCAGCCTGTCCGTGTCCCTCTGGATGGCCTCCCTTCCCTGCAGCAACTGCACCACACAGCTTGGTGTTGGCAGCCAGCTGAGGCTGCACTCCATCCCTCTTGGCACAGCAAAAGCAACTCAACTGAGAGCAATGTTTAGTGTCAAGGTGAACTATAACTCAAACAGAACCTATTTTTTTCTCATTGAAACTTGTGAACACCAGTTCCCCCCTCAAGCCTAAATAAAATAATTAGGAATAAAGGTAATGAAATGCTTTTATAGGCAGTTTAGGTAGTTGTAGAATTTTAATGCCAAATTTGAAGTAATTTTATTATTGAATATATTTTCCGTTTACCAGTGCAAACAATTTTTATTTTATGATCAATCATAGTATATGTTATATACTACAACATAAGGAATTATGCCCTTACAGTAAAAGGTTGCCTTTTTTGAAGAATATGGAATGAACAGAAATGCTCTCAAATGTTTAAAATACTTTCTGGAAACCAGCATGTATATAGTTCTGTAGGTTTTACCAGAGGTGTATAATTTTTCAGCATTACATCTTAATGCCAGTTTCCTGAAGGAGCTTTGACTACAAAAGGCATGAATATGTTTTCAAAGGATGATGGATAAATTGGTGGGTGGTAATATAATATATCTTAGGCAGCTGATCAGGGCTTTTTATCCTCTGCTTGTCTTTTAGTTATACACAATTTCAAGATAATTATGGTCTATAAGAATGTCTTTTCCCCTTCCTACTACCAGCAATATTTGTCTTGGTTATAGGTTCAAGAAACTTCCAATCACATCACAAAATTGGAATAGGGCAATTATGGCATCTTGGCAGAGAACTGAACATATAAATAGACTGACCACACTATATAGACATTTAATATGGACAGTTAATGAACTGCCTTTATGTAATACACCAGTTAATTAGAATACTAGCCATGGAATTTATTGAATCCATACTTGAATTTTATAAAATAAACCCCAAGCATAATGTGTAATTCAGGTTGATATGTACAATGTCTATGTTGCCTTTCCAGTACAGAATACAGTCCAATCAGATAATGAAAATAAATTAATTACTAATCTCGTTAAATAATAATCTCATTAAATAAAATGCCACAGTATTCAATGGTCAGATATGCTGTATTAAAATCCTGACTTGGTGGAGTCACCCAAATCCCAAAGAGCTCATTTTTATGACAGGAGAGGACTTCCTGAAGCACCTGAGTGAGGGTTACTTCACTGACACAATACAAATCAGAGAAATCAACTCTGCTGTGCCTCGTTAGGAAGTGCTGAATAGTCAGGAAAAGCACAGACAAGAATACTGTTGGATACACAAAAACACAAATGGAGGGAGACAACAAAACAAAACTATGTTTTCCTCCACTTTCCTGCAGCAACATTGCCCATTCATTTATGGTCTCTTATAGTAACCCCACTGTGGAGTTAAAACAGAGGAGTGCAGTGTTATTGCCTAGTGTCCAACCCTGGAAATTAAGAAGGAAAATTATTCCAGATCAGACAACAGAGCTTGATAAGGCACATCAAACTAACTGACCACGAACACACTGGTACAAGAAGGAGAAGTGAGGGGAACAATGTCTGTTAATTAACTTGCAGAAGCATAAAGGAGCTAGGAAAAATATGACAGGCTGTGGACAACTCAATCAAAGGTGAATGAAAGAAGAATAAAATGCATGTTTGCTACTCTATTTTAAGAAAATTTAACACAGTGCAATAAAAATATTCATTTGAATAATTTAATTCAATAAGGAACACAACTGCAGTAATCATGCATGGTACAGCCAGGGAGTCAATGAATTGATTATTAGTTATTTAAAACCAATTATTATTAAAAAATATAGCATGTTCTTCTGTAATTCATACTTAAAAATCAATTTGTAACCTATTTATTTAAGCTTCACTCTAAGCCACAAGAAAAAATGATAAAAATTTCACCCCTAAAGGAACCCTCTTTACTTTCAAGATCATTAAAAAAAACAAATTAGATTTTTCACAATGCAGTCATATAATTTCATTAAGAATATACTTCTTCCTGAATACTGAACATTGAATAGGTAAGGCATAGAATTTCCCACCACTAGATAGGAAAGCAGAAAAGTAATCATTTTGTCCAGAAATAGTCTCTGAAGACACTTAAGGAAATAGCCAGACTTCACTTGATGCAGAAGTAATCAGTAAATTATATGTTACTTCTGATATTAGAAAAACGCAGCCTTAGAAAGACATAAAATATTTAATGAAATTTTGTAAGATTATCCTCACACTTCAGCATTTTTTTGCACTGTTGATCAGGTTTTTCCCCTTATATAATTTTCTTATAACAGAAACTATCAGTGTTTGATTTGGAGTCCACTGAAGTCTGAAAGGATCCTTTCTGTATGACCTGACCCAAAGCTGACCACGTTCCCAAGCACAGAAAAAGAGTCAGAACGAAATGTAAGTGTAAAGGAACTTGTAAAGATTTTAAATGGTATTTTTATTCTCTGTGGGAACCTACAATAAATATCTACACGAATTGTGCACTGTTTCCACCATAACATACTGGAAGCACCTTAACTGCTCTTCCTGATAGGCCAGTCAAAAGTGGGAAGAGTTGGGTTGACTCAAACCATCCCACTAATCCAGTGGTTTTCATCCACAACCAAAATAAAGGACAAGCTGGCTCCAAACCTGATTTGGCCTTGGAAGGATCTTACTCCACTGTCCATAGATGGAAGCTAGGGAGCTAAATTTAATTCCCAAATCTGGCTACTGCAAATACTCCTGTACTTCCCAACACATTCTTATGAATCACCAAGATTAATTAATTCGTTACTACACAATACACACACTTTAAAATGTGTCCAAGTTCATCAAGAGATTACAGCCTTGCTTATCAAAAGCCAGGAGTCTTATTTACCTTCAAGATGTTGTCAGGGTGCTCTTTAGCAGAAGCAACGAACAGGTCATGTCCACAGACAATTCCCTCTGCCAGAAAATACTTGAACAACAAATTGGAGTAAAGGCCGTACTTATCTTCCTCTGTGAAAACAAGAATAGTTGGAATTTTTTTGTTGTTGTTAGATAAATCACCCACCTGCATGTTCACAACACTGTAAAAGGTCCCTTTTGCTCTGTCTCCTGGAGTGTATAATGTACAACAGAGGTAAAATAGGATTCCAAAACTTTAAACAAAATGCTTACAATACTGCATTTAGAATTTTTCAAGACAGAGAAAAAGCTCTCAATCCTGCATTTCATTCTAATTAGGGATGGGATACAGCAATCAGTATTATCTTCCTTACAAGGCTCCCCATAAATATCAACTAAGATTACTGAATTTTATGGGTTAATGGGATGAGGTTTATTAATTTAGTAGAATTATATTAATATTTACATTCTTAGTCCTTAAAACATAAACTTGCTTAAAATATCTATTAATTGATGCTTTTCAAATTTCAACCATATTTGGGCATGCTAAAGCTATATAGAGGTATCATTTATTACTGAGACATTCTTACATCTGCATTTCTTTCAAAGCTGTGAAAACTACAAAAACAGGCAAACCCAACGTCTGTATGGAAAAAAATGTGTAATTTGCAACACTGTTTTTGAGAGCTAACCAGAGCAAAGTAAGGAACACACTCAAAAGGCACATGAATTTACAGTTTAAGAAATGAGACAATACTTGTTAACAGACATTGTGAACACTGGCCTACTGACATGAAAATACAAACTCCCACTGACTTCAGGAAGGCCAATATTTCCTTCAGCTTCTTTATTGCGAGTATCAGAAATTACCAGAATTAGAAAATCTTAATGAACTTCATACAATTAAAACTTACCATAACTTAAAGTTACCAGGGAAGTGAATGAGTACATAACAATGAAATCTGAACCACCTCTGATGTTCCTTAATTTTAGGAAATACCAACATTAGCAGTGTTAATGCCAGCTAAAAAAGTTCCCAACAATATAACTATGTCATTAGCTGCCCCACAAAATTTTAGATCATGTTCCAATGTGTGTTGGAACAACACATTCTTGACATTTATTTAGAAAGACATCTAAAATATTTTGTTTGGGAGAAAAGTAAATGCACAATTTTACTTTTTCATCTGTTAATCTGGCTGCTGGAAGACAACAGACAGGGATGTCGAGGCAGAAAAACACAGAGATTTTCTTTATAGAGAACAAACAAGATTCAATCCATTCTTTGTGTGACTTGGAAACAATTTCCTTCCTACACATATGAAATAGTAAAAAACACCCAAAAAAACCAGAAAACCAATAACAAAGACAGAAAATTAGAAAGTTGTCGTTCATATCTAACAAAAATATTGTAACTTCAATATGTATGAAAATACAATGTTTTGAAGCTTAAGAGTCAAGAGGGCTAAGATTAACAAGAAATTCAAACCACAAGTATTCAAAATCACTGGAAAAGAAATAGGTCTCCAAGAGACATTCCCCAACTCCCATGGGGTATCAGGTAAAACAATTTATTTCCTGCTTTTTTTATTTCACTTTTAAATTTAGTATTTGGGATACACTTAAAATTTGGAAAATTTGTATCTTTAAATTTCTTTCTTCTTTCTTCTTCATAATAATCCCTAAAGATATAGTGTCAAGATTACATATTTTGTTGTATGGAAAAGTATTTATTTAAGAGTTTCCCTTTCATTAAAACCCAGCAATGAACTAGGAGTGACTCCAAAGCAGAATTTCAATGTAGAGAAAAATGCTTCATAACACATCACTGAGACAGGAGATTAAATAAAACTGGATATCCAAAGAAGCCAAAGGGAATACAACAATTACTGCACTATCATTACTGGTACTTGCCATTGATATATCCAGTTTATTGTAGAGTCTTCAGGTTTTAAGAACTCAGACTGTATTAATATAAGTTATCTTTGATACTGTTAATCTGCTTAGTAGGCCTTATTAACCTTCTGTATTTGCAAAAACACACATTTTTTAAAACACAACAGTGTAATGATATGGACAGACCTGTATCATAAAAAGGACAGTACTGACAAAAGCTCACTGGTGACAGTGCTGGGCTCCTTATTAACATTTCAGCAGGACTGATTCCTGAAAGCATTGACAGAATCACAAACTGCAATTTCCTTGGAAGTCTGGAGCTCAGTTAAATATTTGATATAGTTTACTCTCACATCCTTACAAAGCCATGACTAGTGTTACTGAAGAACTGTCTCCCTGGTAACTCAGCTCCACACACTGTGTGGTGACTGAGGAGGCAGATCCAGGTACAAGACCAGGATGGAGACAAGTCAACCCAGGTAAAACTGAAGCACTAAAGCTGCAAAAGCAAAAAGCAGAACAGACACTTTCTAAAGTTATGAAGAAGTATTACAGCCTTATTTTGTAAATACAGTCGTTGGAGCCTGCTTAGATTTTGAACTGTTTCAACAAGAGGAAAATAAAACTCATCCACAGAGTCTCCCTTATACCTGGAGGCCAGGAACACCTACAGCTCCTGCCCCTCAAACGTTGGCTCTCTCCAGTTATTTATGCTTTGGCTGCTTACTGCAATATCATTGGTAATATATTATCCACAGTACATTGATTTCCATGTGCTAATCTCCATCTATGAAGCTCTCAATTTAAGAACCAAGGCCCCCCAAAAATCAAAGTGACAGCATGATATCTACTTTTTTTTTTTTTTTAAATTGTCTAAGCTACCTGAAAGAAGCCACCCTGTAATCACATCACTGCAGCAGATGTCAGTGGAGGGAGACTGTTTTGTCAGATCTCCCTCTCTTCAAAAAAAAGAGCAAAAGGAACACCCCTTGGGTGCTCTGAAGGATCCTCAGCTGTGACATTTAACATCATCCTTGGCAAACAAAAAAAATCTTGGTTTATTAATTTTTATCTGTAGGATAAAGTTCACCTTCTCCACCATTTGAGGCACAGAAAACCCGAGTTGTATTGCATGCAGACAGGACTTAACTGATATTTAATGGAATATAAGCAAATATCTAGTTTAACTGTTTTATGGTTTGTGTACATGCAGCAGCTGTATAGACAGTCTTTCTGGATCATCATTTCTGATACTAATTATTCCTTAGAAAGTAAACAACATGCTCAATTTTGTGCCAAACATAACACACAAACTCCATAAACTGGGGCATAAATGTAAGAAATCACACTGTGTGTTGATGATTATTTAACTAAACTATGAGGAAATAAATCTGTAGTAGTAAAGAAGAATTTTTACTCAAATTTTATTTGAAATGCTGAAACATAAAACAAACTGTAGAAGAAAAGCAATAAGGAACATGGATATAAACCCTTTTATTGACTTAATCAAGATGATAATTAATTTCATTGACTTATTTGTAATATAAGAGGACCAGAGATGTTCTTACACTGCCATACCCAAAATGTATTTTGCAAAACAACAAGGCATTGTCAATGCAGCAAATTAAAGACATTCACATTCAGGGTAAGGACACATCATTTTAGCATTACCCTTTCCTTTGGTTTGCCTACACTGATTTTCATAACAGCAAACTTACAGTAAAAATAGGAAATTAAGTTTTGGAGAGTGATCTAAATATAAACCACCTCATAGTCTGCTACAGTACTCTAAGGATTAAATGTGTCTCAGAAAGCCTTTACAAACAGTGTATCTGGAATTGTTAAAGTCAATGCATCTGTAAGAATCCCTCAGTTCTTCAATTTGTCAAATAGAGGATGGCTTTTTATTGATTCATTTCTAGGTCACTAAACTTTTGTGGTATTCAAAAGATCTAAAGTGCACCCATATGGGGCTTTTCTGATAGCATCCATTGTACCCTGGCTTCAATTGTAACATTACTATTCAAAACCACAGCAGTGCAGCTCGCTTTCTCCTTGTAAACAAACAAACAAATCATTTAGCACAGGTACCTCAGCAGCTCACTGATTATTTTCACAGAATCACGGAAGGAAACGCTTTGCTGATAATGCTTGGACTTAACTATTTTGATAAATTTTCCACTGTCCTCTTTACTTTTCCAAAATTTCCAGCAGAGCCACCTTCCTTCTGTAAGGTGTAGGAACTAACACCTGAGTTCATTTGAGTCAGCCAAACACTCGAGACCAGCCTGGCCCAAATCTTTATTCTCAGCCTCCACAGCAAAGGGCCGTGCTGTCAGCAGCCTCCACTGGGAACTTCACTTCTAGCTAATAAGGCACATAAACAAATAAGACTCTTGCAGCTGCAGCCCCTTTTCTGGGCCCAGTCACCACAAGTCACCCAGCCCTCTGCAGCTTTCTCTGATTCTTGCTGAACAAAGAGTGTTCCACAGCTAAGTAGCAGGTGAGTAACTAGTGAAGTGTAAAACTACACAAGGAAAAGAGATTATTTACCTAGAAGTTATGCATATTGTCTCCAGGACAAAAACCTCTTCTGATCCTACAGATAAGGACATAAATAAAATAGTTTATTGTGATTGTTACCCTTTGGTCTCCTTCCACAACAGCAGTCTTTCATGACTGGAACCACCACGGAGAAAAAGCAGCATTGTCAGTAGGACTGCAAAGAATTCCAACATATACCCATGTGGAACACTAAGGATAAAGACCAATTCCTATTTATGGCTCTTTTCACCACTACACTGGATACATAAGAGACATTCTCAACACCTCTGTGCACGGACTGTCTGCAGCTGCTACTCAAAGAAATTTGTGGGTCACAAAATTAGCTGTAAAATTTCGAGGCCCTGGATTTTATCTAGGGCACAGAAGACAAAGGGCAATCAGTGAGACACTGATATCACTAAGGCACTGCAAATATATAATTTATACACAAATTAAGGAAAAAATGGAATTATAAAAATTGATATGTGAATATGTGATTGATATGTAAATAATAAAAAACTCTCTGGATATAAATATCCCCTCTGCACAGAGATATTCATGTTTCAGGAGAGGGATACAGAACAAGCTCTAGAACCAGAGGAGGAACAAAAAGTCACGAACAAAATCCACCATAAGATAACAAACACTTACAGATCATATTTATAACACCTGACTTTTAAACACCAGTGTAATAAACAACAGGAAGCTCTTTGGAAAAGTCCAGCAGTAATTTGTAGTATAATTGCTCAAAACAGTGGGAGCTGTAAAAAGGGAAAAGTAGGACTGCAACAATGTAATGTACAGAGAGCTTATTTTTTTTCCCTCTGTACAAAGTCTAGACAGGTTGCCCTAAAGCTGCCAAAAGCCTGTCATAGCCTATCAGTATCGATAATTTTTTCAGCAGATAGTTCTACAGTAGGGTCCTGTGACCTAAGGTGTGTCTTTCTGTGGCTATGAAACATCTCTCTGAATTGCTGCAGGTCATAAGATGCGATTATTTTAATAATCCGAAATTCCATTTAAAAGATACTTTTCTAATGTCCACATTTACTGAGCTGGAGGGGATATACTTTGTGTCACTTGCATTTAATTAGCACATGCCAAAACGGAGTTGTCAAACATATAAGTTACAATATTTGGCATTTGGCCATACTTCAGGAGGGCGAATTCTGGTAACTGGTATTTTGTAGAATTATATTCAGCAAATCACTGTTTTGTACCTCTCTTGAGATTATCTTTTTCAGCTTTAAAAAGAAGATAAATTCACTTATATTGACAAGTGAAGAGAGCTCTTACCAGTCAGGTTAAATTGCATGTCTAACAAAAATAATAGTAGCTAATTAAAGTAGCTGAAACTGCTTCAGGGCTTAGAATGTACAAGTATAGACCTGCTTTTAACCAGACATCTTTAACTTTTAATAACTGACCTCAGCTACCAACAAAAACCCTCCTACTGATAATCTTTAAAACATTTAGCTGTCAGTGACCTTGTCAAAACTAGAGCATCTTAGAGGTAGGTAAGAATATGTTCTTATAGGGTACCCAGGAGAGATCTATCTGAGTGGGCTGTAACTCACAGCGCAGAATGTGTCACATAAACAAGGCTTATGTTTAAAAACAAAGTAACGTCCTTCTGGAAACTCTTCCCCAGGCTGGCAAAACAGACACAAAACAGGTTGAAGTACCTTGGGAGACGGGAGGAGGGAAGGACTGTGCTTAATCAACAGCCACACAACTTGTTTTGGAAGGGGAGATTCCTCTGGAAGGCTGGAAGTGGTCTCACATTTACATCAAACAAACTGCTTTGATGGTGTCACATCAGAATGCTTGTCACAAACCCACTACAGCAAGATTTCTTGAAACTAAAGGACTAGTTAAAATTCTAAAAATTCTTGTTACATGAACAAAGGGCAGGAAGTTTCAAGCTCCTCTAGTAACCAGGGTCTTGTGTGAGATTACCATATGCCTCAGCTCTCTAATTCTCATGTAATTAAAACACTGTCAAAAGAATATACTATAGAATTAAGTTCAACTGAAAATCACAGTGCTCTTTATTATGAATTGAGTTTAAAAAATTGTACACTTAGATTTCAAGCAATATTTTACAGTCTTAGCAAGTAACCTGTGCCATCACTACATCTCAGAACACAACAGTTAAAATAAATATTTTAATACCCTGAATCTACTATTATTTGGTTAAATTAACCAAGATAATGTGTCAAATAATGAAGATGAGCATTTAATTTGCAAAGGGAGCTAAGCTAAAAGTAATGCAATTTATTCTTGCCTTAGAGAATGTTGAAGGAAGGGGGAAGAATTTAACCTTTTTATAACACTTGGAGTACAACACAGAAAGATCTTCCTAGGAGGTTTATCACTGACAGCTTCAATCCTGATAATATTAAGCTTGCCTAGACTAATCTCATGACAGAATTTCTTGGTATACTGACAGGATACTCTAACAATGCAACTGTAATTCTACCTGCACCAACTTAAAAAATGAGTCTAAAAATTTTTAGACTAATGAGTCACAAATAAATATAGTTCCTGCTTTAAGACTTCTCGTATATAATTATATGTTTCAAAATAACACAGGTCTTATTTGGGGAAAGAAATCAGTTTTCAGATCTGAAGGAGACTAAGTTTAATATCAGATCACAAATACACAACTGAAGTTAAGGATAAACAAATTAAGACCTACCACTAGTATTGCCAGCCACGAGCTCAGAGGAGGGTCAAAAAAAAGGTTCAGGTAAAAAATCCTGCCACGTTCACACCATTTGAGTCCTGCCATCTCTTCCATCAGAACACAGAGCTCACTTCATGTGGTGCCACTGAGCTCAGGTCAGGTGGGTTCATCTGATGCCACCCAGTTTTGTCTACTGGAACGGGCAGCAAACATTGCAATGGGAAGACAAAACAAAATTAATCTAGTCCCATAATCTCTGATCTGTATGTAAAATATAACAGGATCTAACATCATTTTTTCCTTCTTCCTTTAGCACAGCAAGATTGCAGCTCTTCTCCAACTGAAAATGGCTTGAATTAGGCAATGTCAGTTATTTTTTCTGGCAGGCAACTATTCAAATTACTTAAGCTGCACAACAACATACACTCATTTATATACTTTATGTAAAAATCAACATTTTCTAAGATTCAGTGACACATCAATAACTGTCTCTAATGATGGATAAAATGCAGAAATAAAAACTACCCTTAAAATAACAACAAGCCATAGTAAGAGGCAGAGTAATCAGCTTGCTCAGTGGCAAACAGAAAATGTTTTTCAGCCTCTAGTGAGGGTTACGTGAGCCCTATAAACAACAGAAGATAACATGATGTAATTCCTATCGTGGCTAAAAGAGATTTAAAAGAAATTTTCCCCAAATCTCACTGTTTAGTTCTTCAGTGTTAAGACTAATTCAAAATATTGCAACCATTCAAAATACTTAACCAAAATTTTAGATACAAAGGCAATCTCCCAGGTGATGGTTGTCATTCCACAGCAAAACTAAACACAGATAAAATATTGGGACCACAATGTTTTCATCCCTTTCAGAAAATAAATGAAAATTACTGAGTAAATCTGTCTTAAGGCTAAAGAGCACACACACTGAAGAGCTGCTTGTCTGCTGGTGCCTATCACTGGACACATGATGGTTTTGCCATTGCATAAATTCCATGCCAAGGAATTCTAAACAACATTACCAGAAATACTTCCAAGTGATCAGGAGACTAAATTTCTTGGAAGTAAAAAGCCTACTCTGGAACACCGGGAAGGATACAATGGGAAAGATTTTTTGCCTTTTCCAGTGTCAATGTTGACCAGTTTTTCTGCTTCACTGAGTAACTACTCAGGCCTTCCTTTGGGCTTCTCATAACTACTGAGGTGCCAAAGAAAAATCTTTATTAAACTTGATAATTTTTTGCTACTTTTTTCTTACTCTGGAGCAGAGTTTTTCAGATTTTGTCCCTAAACTCCAATTTTACAATTTTACATTGATTCTTGACAACCTGTTAAATCCTTCACTCAGGATTTAGCCAAAATGATGCTTTACTGCACTTTCAATCTTCTGCAAGAAACGGGCCTTTTTAAGTGTAAAAACATCTTTTTTATTTTTATCTACATGACTTTACCTACAATTTCATACCTATTGGTGGCTGTCTTCCTGTCATCCACATTTTAAACTTGAAATAATAATTAATTTTTAAGTATTTAGTGGAGGATTTGGGGAATTTAATATGTAGGCACTCAGACATTGCTTCTTGTATCTCAGATAGCTTTCCAGTGGGATAGGTTTTTGTCAGTCCTATAAATAAGGAAATTGAGGTAGTTTCCATCTTATTCAGTGGGAGAAAACAATCACACAACCTTTTAGTTGTGTGAACTCCAACAGTTCAGAGATATTGCAGCGACTGGAAAACTAAAAGGTAGACCTGTTGTCCCTAGGATCCTGCTTTTTTGTTCCAGCAACTTGGTATGAAAAGGCAATATTAAATTTGTTACACTGCTCAAGATGTGAGCTCGGATTACAGATGCAGATGTTTTCCACATAAGTACATGTATTTCTCTAATAACTCTTCTTTTTTTTTCTCCCTGTAGTATCAGTTCTTTTTGCTATAGGGCAAGTAACAAGCCTGAAAGTTTCTCATAAGAACCTCATAAGAACCATTAACCTGATAAACATTTAAAAGGAATTATTAAGGAAAGCTGGGCAATGGAGCTTCAATGGAGATGTGGTCCCACACAGCTGCAATTTGGTCTGCAAAGGGAACTCTGCTGTAACTTATTAAATCATCTCAGTGTGCCTCATCCTCATCCCCACAGAAAGCCTTCCATCATCTTTCAGCTGATTCTGGCAACCAAAAGATTAAAAGATGCTGCATTAAATATCTTCCTCGGACAGCCAAACTTACAAAAAGAACCAAAAACCCTTAGTGACCATAAACAGCCTGAATCTTACAGGAAATCAAATACTTTAGAAATTTGAATATTTTGCTAGTAAGTCCTGGAATGTGCTGAACACCATCCCTTCAAACAGAATTCTGTGGTATTCTTTGTGTGTCTAAAATTAAGGTTTTGATTTACCTCCAGTAATTCTTGAACAATTCTTGAAACAGACAACAGTCCACTCTGAAGGCTACACCAAGTCAATGGACATGAGAGTTACACTTTCTTAAAGTCTGACTTCAAAAAACAGTGAAAAGACAGGCTATTTAATGAATGCATTAATATATATTCTATACTAACCAATGAGAAGAAGGGTTCCAACAGCTACGCCTCCACCTGGAAACAAAACAAAATGAAGAATAAAGTAAGACTTCATTTTAATACTATGTTAGAGAACAATTAACTTTTCTTAGTTTATAAGTCAAAGAAAGGTGATAACGGGGAATTTAAAAATATAAAAGTGAACAACATTTTAATTACCTTTGCAATACTTACTACAATTCTCTATTATGAAATAATTATACATCACATGTAATTATATACTGCACATTACAATTACTTTCACAATATACTGTACTATCATCATTGTGGTAAAAAGATCCTGCAGAGCTCTGCAGAACTACGCTCAAGTACCACAGCAGTGATGTGTGGTCTGAGCCAGCAGATTTTTACTTGGATGACTCAAGTGAGTAAACATGCTACAAATTAAAGTCAGATTAATCACTATCAAGGGATATTCCTTTGCACCAAGAAGGATGTAAGCAAAGTGACATACTAAGAAGCTAGAAAATTCCCACCCAAGGCTTTGAGGCAAAATCCTGGCTCCACTGCTTTTTATCTTGTTACTGAAAGCAGACGTGGTGGTGAGACAGGCAGGATTTCACCCAGTGAAACCTGGACTGACAGGTCACACACATCTAACACACATCTGAAAAAACAGATGCTAGTAAAGTCTTTCATGGCATGTCTGGGACATAACAACAATCCTACAAATTCTTTTACAAAGGCAGTGAAAGAAGAATTCATATTTTATTTTAGGTGAAGAGTAAATTGGCTTATAATCTGAACTCCAAGAATTACAACAGTGGAATAACCTGACGTCAGATTACTTCATTTAACAATGATATGACTGTGACAGGAAGGTTAAAAATTCCTAGAAGTGTTCAGATGGCCATATGTAACCAGCCTACTGAAGTGCTTTGCATGAAGGGAATTGCAGTATGTCGGCTGCAATTAAGTACTGATTTAAAAGTTAGGAGCAAACTGAATCACATTGGCTCCAGAAGTTAATTCTGGCCTGCACAGATGCACTCTAGTGCATAGATGGACTCTAGTGAACAGGATCATTCACTCTATAAATTTATAAGAGTTCATTAAACTTCACTTAAAATTGATTCCAACGGGAGTCGGACCCCCTTCTTAATCTTTATAGCTCTGCTGGTGGGACTACAAATATCTGTAGCACTTGTAATGTTGAATTACCCAGAAGGAAGAGAAAAAGCAAAGTTCTTTCCCACAGGCTGAATAAATTGTTGCATAACATGACACCTGAATTAAAACCACAACGGGATCACTTTGTCGTCGTGCCACGATGCACCGCGATTTGAGCAGCACATGGCAGCGACAGGGTTTAGTCACACACTAATTTCATTGTTGCAGATTTTTTCAAGCTATGCTCCCAAGTCAAGAGGTACAAATGCCTCAAATATTTACAGCTTGACACAGAAAATATGATCAAAGCAGCCGTGAGTAATGTATTACCTCACGGCGATAAGGACATAAAAACCTCAGCTATAAACAGTTCACTTGTAGACACAACAGAAGTAGCGCCTCTTCTGCTCTTAAATCGCTTGCACAAGAGAGAATTTGTTTCTCAAACACTACGACAGTGCAGTCAAAATTCTCACAAGCTGCATTTTCAAATCATCAGTGGTACTGTTTCTTTCTACAAGCCAGAGCTGTAACATATGTGCACACACCCTGGTTGCTGAAGGCCAGCTCAGGTCAGAGGACTGGCTTTGCATTATCTGGTGCAGTGAAGAGTTTGCCCAAGTGTGTTCTATTAGATGGGATGTAAAACTATTGCAGTTACAATGGTTACATATTCATATTATAATTAGCAACAATAATAGTAAATTAAGCAAAACACAAGTGACAGGAAAAAACAGCAGGAATGCTGACAGAGTAAAAAAGGAAGAGGTAAAATCTTTGAGTTTCCCAAGAAAGCTGCTGTGAACTTGTTATTCTTCCTAATTTTGCTACTTTATTTTTTTTTTGGCCAGTATCTAAGGCAGCAGCACACATAAACAACTAAGCAAGACCTGTAACTTTCCACATTGCCAGTTACAGCAAAGAGATCTAGGATCCTATGGACAGAAACACAACAAACTTTGCAAGTTGACAAGTGTCCCGATTGTTTTCAAAGCATATCCCTGATCTTTTTTTTTCCAAGCAGCTTGAAACAAAACACTCCATACAAGGCATGTGATTATTATATTACACAATAGCTGAAAATCATTACAGAGAACTGCTTTGGCACAAATCAGGCATATATGGTCTTGAAAGTAAAAGCTTGGAAGTAAACTTGACTATAAAGCCTGAAAATGCAGTGCCCTAATGGTAAGATGGCATTTGAAACCCAGCACTCATCCAACACTTTTTTTCCAAAGGAAATGCATTGCTTAAGAAGAGTGACCAACAACAATGTAACAATCAGCCTCTAGCTGTAGGGTAAAAGAAATTCCTCCTTGTATCCTCTGCCTATTCCTCTCTTCAGAAGTTCCTCATTACACCTGTGTCTGACAACACCATGCTTTACTCACACTTACTCCTAAGCTGTATCTTCATGTCTGGCAAATAATGCTGTGTCTGGGTTACAGATTCTGAACCAGGCAAACTTAAATTCAAGCCCAAAGCCAGAGATTTAGAAGACTGCCTGCTGACTGCTAAAAAATATGTCTATGAAACATAGACTAAGAGAGTTTATAGCAATTTCCACTAGAAATTTGTACTAAAAAAAAAAAAAGGATTGTCCTCTGTCTCTGGTGACAATAAAAATTAAATATTTTGTGCAATTATTTAACTGCTAGTGAGCAAGACAAAAGAAGGAAAGTATAAGCACTCTTTAAGAAACACACAAACAGCACATTTATGAAGCATTTCCACACACACACAAGCAGAAAGGACAGGAAGGAGACCAAGCACAACACTTCCACCAGCACAGTGGGCTCAGTCAGTTGGTCAAAGGATGTGATTATCCCCTTTACTCATTAGATCACATCTGGAATACAAGGTCTAGTTTTGAGACACTCAGTACAAGAAAAAAGTATAAATAAGCTTAATTGAGAAGAGAAGATAAAGTACAAGAAAGAAGTAAAGATGAAGTGAAGTGAGAAGCAAAGATAAACTGAAATGAGTCCAGTGGAAGGGAACCAAGGTGGGGCAAATGACCAAAGAGAAGGGGTTGAAGGAACTGGGGAAGAGAGGAAGACCTGAAGGCTGTGGGATGGTAACTAAGAGAAGCTACTGAGCAGACAGCTGAGCTCTTAACTGAGGGAGGGCAGGGAAAGTTCCCAGTGGATAGAAGGAAGAAGAAAACTCCCTACAAAAATAAGTAAGCATTGGACTGGGTTGTCCAGAGCTGCTGTGAAATCTCTGCCATTGCAGATTTTTGAGACTCAACTGGACAAAGCCCTGAGCAAATAACTTGGAATTTGGTGCTGAGCCTCCTTGAAGGTTGCAGAAGGTGAATTCTTGAGGACCTTCCCCAGTCTCCAAAATCAGTGATTCTGTACAGATGGTCTGTCTCCAACAATGCCTAATACCTGGAACCAATGGAAACTTTTTTTGGCACAAGTCTTTCCTGGCCTACCCACTCAGCCCTCAGAAATCAGTGATTCAAGGGCTAGGAGCTTACCAAAGGTTTACATAGGAATATAGAGTTTTACAGCTTTTCAAAGATGCCAGAACCCAAAAACTATCTTAGAAGTATTTTGACAAGTTGCTATTCCTAGGGTTGAAAAACTTCCTTGATATTTAAGTATAAAAATTAGCAAGGTCAGGGAATTACTAAATATTTAAAAGACAAGGAAAACGTACTTCAGAAGGGAGCCTGGGTTCATTGAAAGTGTCCTCAGCTTCCATGACAAACCACTAACTGTGTGTGTAAGTGCCTGGAAATTTAGGAGACTGCCAGCATGGGAGCTGTCCACATCTTCTGAGCCACGCTGTGCAAAAATCCACTGTTTATAAAAGGCAACATGATGAAGAACTGGAATTTTCAAAGCAAATCTTCTACTTATGCAATTAAAGGGTTTCACAAATTACACTCAATGAAATACTGCTCTCTTAAAGGAGGAAGAGCCTTCTCCACAACGATGCTAATCCCTGATGAAAGTGCAGACACGCACAAACAAACAAATGATACACAGGCTGCAAAAAGTTCTTTACAAAATGGATACAACTTTTATACTTATCATTACTTATACAGAATATCCTTAGAAAAAAAAAAAAGCGATATATTCCTATATTCCATGTGCTCCAAGGATGAATGAACAAAGCTAAAGTACCTAAACTAGCTAAAAGGAGCTGACGTATGTTGATGCACACTAAAGATGCATTTAGTGAGCAGTTAGTAAAGGGATCACACAGCCTTAGTGCATACAGATAAAACAGTGAAATTAATTAGTTCCCAACCCCATAGAGGTGCCAGTTCACGCCACAGATGATAACACAGCAATAGCCACAACAGATCATTCCACGGGACCCTCCTGACACTGCGAGCAGGCAAAGGCAGAGGTACAGACAGCACAGCCTCACACCGGGGCAACCCCTCGAAACGGGGCATTTCAGTGACGCCGCTGCGACAGAAAACCCCGTCCGACACATCCCGACCAGTGCCACGCCGGAGAACCAGAACTACACCACGCGCTAATCCAGCGAACGCGGCTTTCAAAGCCGAGCCCTTGTGTGACAGTGCCCGCGGAACGCGACAGGGACGCGGTGCCCCGGGGCTCCAC